ACAGACTTGAGGAAGCCGCGAAGGGAGCCACGCCACAAGCAAATCTTGATGAAAGGAGGCTCAATTTCTTTCAAAAACAGACAGGAAATAAAAGCCCACAGATCCAAGGAGCTCAAGAAACTCACAGGGGAACAGAAACTCGAACAATGCAAAGCTCTTCCTCATAAAACTGCAGAAAAACCAGAGCAGCTCAAGAAAAGATAGAGAACATACAGAAAAAGCAATGTGAAGGACCTGTGATGTCACAGGAGAAACACACCAGGACCTTTCAACATGCTGAATGCAAAAACAACATGCCTGAAGTTCCATATTCAGCAAACCAAACCTTGAAAATAATAAATTTTCAGGAAAAATGCTCAGGATATCTAAGGCTGCACCATCAACAATGTTGGACAAGTTCTTCAGATGAAGGAAGGCAGCACTGACTGGACCCTGCAGCTGTGCAGAGGGATGAAGAACTGGCAACAGCACAGAAACACTTTCTGTGACTTTAAAACACAGCTGTTCTGATATCTTTAAAACACAGCTGTTCGGAACAGGGGTTGGAAAGCTACATTCATGGCCAAACCTGGCCTGCTTATTTTCACACAGCCTGAAAGCTAACAACGCATTTCATATTTTAAAGTGGTTGGAGTTGGGTGTGGTGGCACACACCTGTAATCCCAGCAACTTGGGAGGCTGAGGCTGAGCAACTTAGTAAGACCCTGTCTCAAAAAATAAAAACGGTTGGGGATGTGACTCAGAGATTAAGTGTCCTTGGGTTCAATGGCACCAATAAATAAATAAGAAAGAAAATGGTTGGGAAAAAAGGAGGGCATTTAATGACTCAGGAATGATGTAAAATCCAAGGTGTGTCACAGAGAGAGGTTTGCTGGTGTGCAGTCACACACATACATCCCCATCACCGGAGGCCTCTCACACTGCAGCAGCAGACCTAGGCCGCAGAGACAGATGGTGGTCCTCAGAGCCTAAGATGCTTTTCTGCCCTTCACAGAAAAAGCTAGCTTGGCTTAAACTAACAGTCACAATCATGTATTGTGGGGTCCAACCCTGTTTGCAATCTCCAGAGGTTATATACCACAGACCACTGTATTCTCGAGCAGAAACAGGAGATGGAGAGCAGCGCAGCAGCCACAGGGGAAGGATGCTAAGGGCCTGCCAGTGCTCTGTGCCTTGCTTATGGATGGGCTCACAGGAATCCTAGCATGGGAGACAGCTATATGGGACTGCATATGTGCATGTTGCACAGTTACAAAGAAGCTTGTGGTGCAGGCAGTATGACTGCAGCAGGGTCAACTTCCTGGTTTTGATGTATATTAGGGTCAAAAAAATATGCCACCTGGGTCAGGGTTGTGCTCAGTGGTAGATCGCTTGCCAAGCATGCATAGGGCACTGGGTTCGATCCTGGCACCATTTAAAATAAACAAAATAAAGGTATTGTGTCCATCTACAACTAAAAAAAAAAAGGACACCACCTTTAGAGGAAGCCAGCCGGGAGATGGTGCACGAAAATCTCAGTGCTATCTCTGCAACTTCCTGTGAATCTATAATTATTCCAAATTTGTTCTTAAAAACATACAGAAGACATGAAATAATAATAAAAATATTGAGAGGAATAAAAGGTCTTTATGCAGAAGGTAAAGGTGGAAAGGTACTATGTGAAACTAAAGTGTAATGTTAAAGATACACATGATAAACCCTAAAGCAACCACTAAAAAAAACAAAAAAGGCAAATACTCCATATGAGAGCATGAAAAAAAAAAATACTAAAGATTATCCAATGAATCCTAAAGTCAAAAAAGGAGAAAGTACAGAACAAAGAACAAAGTTGAAGGCAACTCCAGAACGTCAGCGATCACACTAATGCAAACAGACTGACCGTTTCACTCACAGAGATTGTTAGACTTGACATGCTATGTACAAAAAGTGCACTTCAGATAACAAGAAACACCTTACAAGGAAAAGGACAGAAAAAAGACACTATACACACAGTGACACAAGTTGAGTGTACACAGTGACCCGACAAAGCCAACTGCGGAAAAGAGTATTCCAGATTAAAAAATAAAATAAGATCTAATTTTCAACTTTTTACAAGGGTCAATTCATTAAGAAACAATGAACTGGTGCAATGTATGTGCACCACACAACTGAGTTTTAAAATACTTAATGCAAAAGCTGACAGAACTATAGGAAAAAAGATGAATCCATGGTAATAGCTGGAAATATCAGCCCTTTTCTCTCAGCAACTGAGAATGAGCAGACAGGAAATCAGTACATCACTGACATTCACAGAACATTTCAATCTGTAACTAGAACACACAGCACCTTTAGGTACACATGGAACAATAACTTAAGTCAGGCAAAAAACAGAGCACACTCCACTGTTAATCACCATAGATAAATCCAAAGCATTTTATTTTTATATTCTTTTTTTTTTTTTTTTTTTTTGGTACCAGGGATTGAACTCGGGGCACTCGACCACTGAGCCATATCCCCAGCCCTATATTGGATTTTATTTAGAGACAGGATCTCACTGAGTTGCTTAGCACCTCACTTTTGCTGCGGCTGGCTTTGAACTGTGATCCTCCTGACTCATCCTCCCAAGCCACTGGGATTACAGGCATGTGCCACTGCGCCCAGTTTTATTTTCGTATTCTAAGAAACTAAACTTCATGTGCAAATCCATAAAGTTGAGGGGGAAAGAAAGGAAGTAAAGATAAAATGTGAAGACAAGTTCTATTTGAGTATTTTTTCTTATTTATGTGGTTATCTAATAACATTATCTGTAGGGTTCTAAGTAAGTTAAATTAAGAAAGAAAATCTAGGTAGTAAATATCACTTACCAAAATAGTCTAAACATAATACCTAGTAAATATTATACTATAATGTAAATTTTTTTTTCTTGAGAAGATATCACCTTTTAATCACTAGAGTATAGAATTATTAAAGTTAAGAAAGAATATGGGGGGCTGGGGATGTGGCTCAAGCGGTAGCGCGCTCGCCTGGCATGCGCGCGGCCCGGGTTCCATCCTCAGCACCATATACAAACAGAGATGTTGTGTCTGCCGAAAACTGAAACATAAATATTAAAAAATTCTCTCTCTAAAAAAAAAATAAAAAGAAAGAAAGAATATGGGGGCTGGGGTTGTGGCTCGGTGGTAGAGCGCTTGCCTATCATGTGTGAGGCACTGGGTTCGATTCTTAGCACCATATATAAATAAATAAAATAAAGATCCATCAACAACTAAAAAAAAAAAGAAAGAAAGAAAGAATATGGGCAGAAAGCCACATTGGTGGCGCAGGAGACCGAGGCAGGAGGATTGTGGGTTCAAAGTCAGCCTCAGCAAAAGTGAGGCAGTAAGCAACTCAATAAGACCCTGTCTCTAAATAAAATACAAAATAGGGCTGGTGATGTGGCTCAGTGGTTGAGTGCCCAGGTTAAATCTCTGGTACCCCGCCACCAAAAAAAAAAAAAAAAAAAATTTCAAGTTCAAACATTTGGCATTTGGTCCTAGAAAATTTATTTCTGTGCTTTAGCACCTTCCTTGTGTCTGCACAGCACATGGGAGAAGGCAGTGCATGCTGTGTGGCACTAGGAGTCTACTCAACCAGGAACTCCAAGACCCTACTGTCTCCTCCCAAAAGAATGACAGGGAGATGTAGCTCAATGGTAGAGGGCTGTATGCCCTGCACAAGAGCCTGGGTTCACTCCCTAGTACTAAACAACAAAACAGAAACCAAAACCAAAAGGAAGACAGCTTTTTCATCTGGAAATTGCATCAGTACCTTTAGATTATGCAAACATCTACCTTCTGGAATAACAGACTGATCTTAAAAATATTGATATGTCTGGAAATATGGTGCTCAGTCAAGCAAATGGGCCCCAAGCATCCTCTTATTTGCTAGTTTCAGACCATGTTCTTAACCAAAGTTCTGTCCAATCAGAGTACCTGTCCAATCATAAAGTACCTGCCTAAGGTCTCCTTCTAAGAGAAGCAAGGCTTCACACTGTTGAGAGCCACACTCGAAGGGGCCCCAGCAAACTTCCAGCTGCCAGCAAACTTCCAGCTGCCGGCTGATGATTGGCTCACAGCGGCCCCAGCAACATCTAGCTGATTGGCTCCTCTGCAGTGATGCTCATTGGGCTGTTTCCCTGCCCTTTCAGACCACGGAGCTGATCATTGGGGGACTTTTTTGGCTCCACCCACGTGACCCAGCCAATCGGCCTCAAGAGCAGGAGGATTGTGGGAGGTGGAGAGAAGCTTGTGTGGGAGAGAGAGGCTTGTGGAAAGCCGGTGGTGGCAGTTGAGGCTCTGAGGGTTTTTCCTGAGAGGCTGTTTTGTTTGGCGTGTGTGGTTCTAAAAATAAAGTTAGTTTCTTTTGACAAGTGGCTCCTGATTGTGCCCAGCCAGACTGCGGCATCACACAAAGAACTAAACAATTATGCACCCCTGGTTTCTAATATGCGGAGCTCTTCTTCACTCCTGACTCCCTCAAACTACTCCTAATAGTGAGTTATGGGACCTGATTACCTTAACACCTGGTATACAAGTCCTTTTTACCATTCTGGACATGCATGGTCCTCTACTATCAATGGCTAAGCATTCAATGGAAATAAGAGATAGAAGAAAATATAAACTTAATTACAAAATTCTAAAGGAAAAAAAATGACTAGATATTGTATGATTATTTTATAAAAAATTAGTTTGAGCAGCATCTAAGTAGACACTGTCTTCTAATAATAAGTAACTGTAGTCCTCAGGCAGGAAAGAGTGTTCATTTAAAAAAAAAAAAAAAAAAACACAAGTCCTTTTAAGGAATAAACAACGCATTCTTCATTAATGAGTGCTGATCCACTGCTTGCTAATTAAAATAGACATCTCCTGGCACTGTTCCTTAATTATTTACAGATGTTATTCTCAATCAATGTTTTACTGAGAAACAAAACCTACTTAACTGTCAGACGGAACTATAACTGAGAAAGACCATCCAGCTCTTACCTCTGCAGCTGCCCAGGAGCAGAGTATAAACACGCTGTCGGACAGGACGGTAAACGAAGGCCTGGCTGGGCAAGGCCTGGTCAAGCTCATCTTCCAAGGTGTTGCTGCACTCGATCTCTCCACTGCTGACAATGCTGTATACCAGGTAGCTTTCTGCCTGGATGTGATGCATCCTGGCAACCTGTTCAAAATTCAGATACAATGGATTTCTCCTTAAAAACAGTGAGTGGCCTTCAAAAGAAAGTCAATAACTTTCATTTCATGCCGGTTTTGAGAAGGCACTAAGAAATGAGTGCCACTCAAAATCATGATATCAAGTAGCATTTGTTTTCTTTCCTTTGAACTTCCAAGTTTAAAACTCTGTTTATATTCCTTTTCCTTTACCTTTCTCACTCCATCCACCAGTCTTACTAGTATTACCTCTTCAGTGATCATTGCTTTTTCCACTTGACACCTCCCAGGAGCCGGGTGCTCGCTACTTTTCACCAGGGTCACGGCTTCATGCCTGTCAACACTTCCACTTGGAGGCCCAACTCCACCTTCCTCAGTTTCTAGTCCCATCCTTTTCCATGCAGAAAGCACTTACAAATGCTTCCCAGTAAAAGTTGTCATTTTCTTTTCTTAAATCCTCATCCTTTTCCACTATAACTCTCTTCAAGAATGAGTATAACATAAGCGCTTCTGAGAAGTGACCTCCAACTTGTGAGAGAAGAGAACATGAACAGTGTCAAGGAGGAGATGGGCAGTGGGAGCTTTCCAGGAGGAGGAGGACATGTGTGAGACAGTGATACTACAGAGCTGGAGGAAAAGAGGAAAGTCGGTGGTGGCCAGGTGCCGGTGAACTGCGGCCACATTCAAGCCATTAGAGTTTGTCCTAAGAGTTACAAAGTACAAATAAAGGGCTTTATTTCTATACACAGCATGACAAATAGACTGGAAGGGGCAAAGCTGCTCCAGAAAATGTCCTTAAAGGTCATGACAGTCATCCTGACAAGAAGTAGCTGGAACTGAGGTGGCAGAAATGAACACTGCACAAATTCACAACTCATTTCCTAGGTAAGAGTCAAAAGTCATGAAGACTGACTATGAAAAGTGAGAGAATTCCCAGTCCAAAGCTGTGTAACTAATGAAGATGGCAAAACTCAGATGCTATGAGCAACTAAAGGTTTTGGGTAAGCACAGTTTGTTTCTGAACTTGTTGAGATGCCTCTGTACTTTCAAGTGGACAAATACCTGTGAAACCGGGGTTAGGGGTGGGAATATAGGTTAGGGGTAGAGCAAACGACTAGCATGTGCAAGGCCCTGGATTCCGTCCCCATCACTGGAGACTGGAGAAAGGTAATGCTTATCTCACAGGGCTGTTGAGGGTTAAATGAGAAAAGATAAGCATTGTGCCAAGCAAAGAACTTTACACAAACGGTACTTATTAGTGGCCCTCCATCAAAACTCTTCAAAGGTTCTATACCATGTTCAGATTTAGTGCAAACTCCTAGTGTGGCATTTAATAACCTTCACAGTCTGGCTGTACACCACCTTCCCCAGTCCTTCCATCCTTCACACCCATACTGTAGTAACAGATTCCAAACACCACATGCTTTAGGGCTCTTACAACCCCAAGTTTTGTCTATTCAAAGCAAATGCTGGCCTCAAGGAGATCTGGATCTGGTTTCACCTCTTTGGGGTACTTCTCCCTTTATCTTTTTTTTTTTAAAGAGAGAGAGAGAGAGAATTTTTTAATATTTATTTTTTAGTTTTCGGCGGACACAACATCTTTCTTTGTATGTGGTGCTGAGGATCGAACCTGGGCTGCATGCATGCCAGGCAAGCGCGCTACCGCTTGAGCCACATCCCCAGCCCATCTCCCTTTATCTTAACCCACAAGAGTCTCTCTCCTTAGAATTCCCACAGTTCTTGCCTGTCATATTCATGTGACAATATCAAGTATACATAAAATCTGCCTTCCTATCTAAACTCAAAGGTTCCCAATCTGTGCCTCCCCAAGTCCTTAACCACTGCACCAATCACTAAATATTTACTAACAAATCCATCGGTAAAGATATTTCCAATCATAACATCTTTGACTGGAGTGGGCACATTCACCTACCTTTAGGATTTCAGGATCTGAAACCAAGGTTACTTGTTGTTTTATTTCAGAATCCATATCCATGGGTTTATCTTCTTTAATTTTAGGATGGGCATACATGGGTACTTCTAGATTAAAGTCAGAGTCTGTTTCTACAGGTAACTGTTGCTTGATTTCAGGGCGTGCACATGTGGGAACTTCTTGTTTGGATTCAGGCTCTTTACTCATGGGAACTTCTTGTTTGGATTCAGGCTCTGCACACATGGGAACTTCTTGTTTGGGTTCAGGCTCTACACACATGGGAACTTCTTGTTTGGATTCAGGAACTGTACATATGGGAACTTCTTGCTTGGATTCAGGAACTGTACTGATGGGAACTTCTTGCTTGGATTCAGGATCTGTACTGATGGGAACTTCTTGCTTGGATTCAGGCTCTGTACATATGGGAACTCCTTGCTTGGATTCAGGGTCTGAACTCATGGAAATTACTTGCTTGTCCAACATTATTAAACCTTTGGGTTTTTGGAAGAACCATGGTGAGCTCTGTCCTGGCAAGAGATATGATGCCACTCCTTTATAAAAAAGAGCCCTGTTTGGTCCCAAAGGCAACATCTCTTCTAATTTTTTCTCTCCTTGATGCAAATGAAGAACTTTGGATATATGATCTGACACAGCTAAGATAATGTTACCTTTTTTATCAAAGTTCTCTTTTACAGAAGTGTAGGAAGATAAGCACTTGAAACGAAAGCTTTCAAACATGCCCTCTGGGATTATGTCATTGCCAAGTAGGCAGGCTAGCAGGGGAAGGTCTGCCACACAGAGGCCCAGACTCTCGCAGAGCTTCTCTCGACAGAGCATGATGGTCTCGAGGCTCTCCAAGCAGAGCTCGCTAATTGAAAAGTAGGGGCACGTGTCATAAATTAAGTAATCAGTGTCTTCCCCAAGAATCCCAAGACAATTGTACTGGAGACCATAGGAAGCCACCTCATAGTCTGCCTCCTTCAATGAACACAAAGTTTCCTGACCCAGAGTCTTCAGAGCGAACCGTGTAAATATAGCCAACCCCGAGGGGATGAAGAACATGTTTCTGCCGGGTTGCTCCCTGTGTGACCTGATGTAATGGAAAATCCTAGAGATCTCCCTGTTGTTCTTAAGTCTTCGTTTCACCCACTCATTTCTCTTACCCTGTTCCACCATACCATCAAAGAAGAATACCAACTTGATGCCAACAGATGCAAAGGAGTCAACAAAATCTCGCAAAGCAGAAAAGTATTCTCGCCATTGGCCACCACAGACCCAAGACTCTGGAGTATACCAGTATCGGAGACAACACATGGCATCCACCACAACAGTAGGAGTACATCCAGGGTACTTGCTTCGGTGATGTTCTGCCAGCTCTCTGAAATTGACTACTGTACATATATGTGGGCAGGTACTTCCCACAAACCCCTGCAGACCTCTCACACCCATAACTGGACTCTGGAAAAGGATCTGCAAAGAAAAAGAAATCCATAATTAGCAACTATGGCATTTTCACTAGACATTTGGCACTTTTCAAAGCAAACACAAGGCAATATTTAATATTCCAAAAGACTCGTGTCACCAAACATGACATGCTGGCTAGGAGCCTAAAGAGTGTTCAATTAAAACACAAAGCACTTTATCTAATCTACGCATACATTAATGACAGGAGTATCACAAGGACAACACATGTAGCAATCTTTTAAATTTTTACTATTATTCAAGATATTTCTCAACCACATTCAAAGAGAAGTCAACACTTTCCAAAAAAGTAATTATTACTCATCCAGAAACTGAAATAGTATTTTAAAAACCTACAACACATATTACAATACACAAAATGAAAATATTTTGAAATACATTTGCTGACAAAAAAGGACATACACATGACTCAACTTGTAAAAGTTCTAGCTCCCTTAGAGCTAAGATAGTCTGTAGTGGCAGAAAGCAGAGCAGTGGTAACCACCATGTGGGGAGCAAAGCACAAGGAATTCCCAAGGGGACACTACGTGGTCATAAACAAGTGTACTACTTTGTGCTGAGAGTTTTACAATTGCATAATGCTATAATAAAACTTGTCAAACTGTATATGGAAAACTGTTATCAAGCAGATCTCAATAAATGAATTGAAAAGAAAAATTCATACAAATTCACCATATTAAGCATTGTACTATCTGAATTTGTGATTGATGAAAAAAATAGCCCATTCTAAAAGCTAAAATCAAATAGAAAATGCTCAAAGAATTAAAATAGTTTATAAAAATAAAAATGGAACAAAATACATTTATATCATATGATGTCCTCCTTTAGGCAAGGAAAAATCATCAATGCTCAGAAAATATTCTATGAGGACCTCCTGGATTTCAATGTCTACATATTCACTATCATTTCCTCTGAGCGATCAGGGTCACATCCAAGCACACAATCACTACAGTCTCCTCTGAGCTGTCAGGTCCCACATCCAAGCACACATTCACCATGGTTTCTTCTGAACCATCAGGGTCATGTCCAAGCACATATCAGCAGCCCTCATTTTTCAGTGCACTTACCAGCTACCATGCTGAATTGGGCATCTACACATACAAACTTTAATCTATAAGGCAACTCTAATGAAACCCTTATAGAAGGGCTGGGGATGTGGCTCATATGGTAGAGCGCTCGCCTAGCATGAGTGAGGCACTGGGTTCGATTCTCAGCACCACATAAAAACAAAATAAAGTTATTGTGTCCACCTAAAACTAAAAAAAAAATAAATATTTAAACAAAAAAAGAAGAAACCCTTATAGAAATCAAAAGTTCTAACTCACAAGTGAAGGAACTGTAAACAAATCACTGTGATGACAACAGACACCCTCATAAGACTATCTTAAAAAATATACTTATTGCTACTGGACACTGACCTGTAATGGTTTAATCTGAAGCTATCTGTTTAATAGTCATTAAAAATGAAAATATATAATATATGGGCAGAGATAAATATCACCTATTATATATGGAAACTCATCAAAGTCCTGACCATATGTTATTAAAGAGACTATATGAATACATATGCCTCAGATCACTACTCACTATCACTAGTATAGAGTTTGCTATGGAAACAAAGTCAAAGTATTGAGCTACTACAGTAGAAACTGGGCCTCATAACATAATTATCTCTTAGCTGTTGGGTTTCTGTTGGATTCATGGACATGGATCTTTTCTCCACGATGGTTACACTGCTTTTTCATGTGCTAGAGATCTAACATATAGCCTCACAGGAGCTAAGCAAGAGCTCTACCACTGAGATATATGCCTGGCTCCTAAAGGTATTCCTCAATGTTGTTATAACATAGTAAGCAGGGGACAGGCTTTGGGAAAGAAATACAAATGTTGGTTAGAATAGACTCTAGACTATTATTCTATGCCTTACTTTGAATTAAGCAGGTCAAAGATAAATCTTATAAATCAGAGACTAACTCAGTTCTATGTCCTTCACAGGTCTGTGCTGAGTGCTGGGATATCCCAGAGTGCATGGCTAGCCCCTGTTGATTCCTTTCCCATAAGCCCTCAGTTCAGACAGCTCCTGGAAGTTCTGGCTGGGTCACTCAAGACACAGGAGAAAACAACACACAGGTGGAGAGAGAGCTAAGAGTTGGGCACAGAAACCCCACCAATCGCTTTCCAGAATGATGCCCCCACCTGCACAGCAGGTTTTGTCACATTTGAACTTGTCTTTCTTTCCTTGACATTTAAAAAAAAAATTTTCTTTTTGATGCAATCATTTTCTACTGAAACTGTAAATGACAACAGTAAATTTCTCAAAATAACCACTTTATTTTGCAAGAAGCCAGACTCTGCTTTTTTTTTTTTTTTTTTTAAACAGGGGGAGAGAGAGAGAGAGAATTTTAATATTTATTATTTTTTAGTTCTCGGTGGGCACAACATCTTTGTTTGTATGTGGTGCTGAGGATCGAACCCAGGCCGCACGCATGCCTGGCAAGCACGCTACCGCTTGAGCCACATCCCCAGCCCCCAGACTCTGCTTTTATTCAGATGTTTCTGCCCCTTTCTCACACTAGTAGTGAAAAGCCCACTGTTTCACCTGAACAAGCACAAGCTTTTCCTGTCTTTCACACTGCCAATTTCTCACATTTGAGTCACAGATAAACCTCAAGTATGCGACATGAAAAAGTGTTCTCCTTTGGCATTTACAAAAAAGAACCAGGGTAGGAAAGGAGTTGGGAATCATGAAGCTGAAGGAGGCCTTCCCATACTTCCATGAATTCAAGAGCTAAATACTCGCCACGCCCACTTTGTAGAGCAACGTCCCTGATGGCCAGGTCTGGAAGCATCACCCAAGCACAAGTGCAGTCAGCATGAGATGACAGAAGTGTCCAAAAGGACAGGAAACTACGCCTATCACCTCAAATAATTACTTTTTGTTTTCCCTTTACTGTTGAGTGCATATATGGAGGCTTCTCCTTCTATAAAGAAATAATAATGCAGTTATTAAAGAATGACTGAACAAATACATATAATTTAGATTTCAATTAATTCTCCCTGCAATTCATATAGGAACTTTTTATATGTTGATCACTGCCGTTTAGAAAGAAAGTAGAAATCTTGTCTCATTAGGTAGGAGTCTCACTGCCCTAAATATAGTGTGGGACACTGGGGAATCACCACTATTAAGGTGGGCCACTTGGGACAATGACATGTTTATCTGTCTCATCCCAACAGCTAGCACAACGTCTCATATAAGGGGCCCCAAATCTATTTGAAATAATAGATAAATGCAAGGGAAAATGTATAAAAAGAATAGAAATCCACAAGGATTTCTGAGACCCCACATGTATCCTAGGATAGAATGCGAAGAAATGCTATCCTCCAGCAGCCCAACACAGGGCTTGCAAAATCAACACCAACATCAATGCAGGAAGTTCTGAGGAGCTACAAGGAACTGCAGGCACAGTGGATCTGGAGGCTGCTGCTCCTAGGCCAAGCTGCACTTTCCTCTGACAGCGAAGCCTGTCTCAACTGCTGGGCTACTAAAACGTGAAGTGGAAGGAAAAAAGACAAATCCAGGAACTCCTTTACTCCTAACTTTCAACTTCTAAACATCTGTGGAAACTGACAGAGCAGCACACCTCAGCCTAGCCCCACCTGATGCTGACCTATGCCAAGGTTCCTCTAGGTCTCTTGGGCACATGAACAGTTCACGTGTGCCTGACCCCTGCACAAGGACAACTGTACTTGGCAGCCTAACCAAATTCCCACACTCACCTAAGTAAATGTCCAAGGAGTATTTACCACACTCCAGAGCCCTGCTAGGGCTGTGAATAAAGTATGAACCAGATGGTGGCTCCTGCAGGACAGAAGAAAATCTGGAGGCGTACACATGTCAAAATGTGACCAATGGGACACTTTAAATGTGTAATTTATTTCAAAAGCCCCGTGGCAGATGGGCCCCCTAGTCCCACACATCAGTTTTGTTCAGCCTCTTTTCTCAAGGACACATTGCAGTAAAGGTGTAGTTATGGGGGAGGAAATTGACAGTGTGTGCTAGGTGAAAACAACCACTTGCTTAAGGCCACAGATATTAACTAACAGGAATGGCAGCATCCAAGCCCACCAATCTCAAAAGCCTGTCTTCCTTTCCTTAGGCCTCACCTCTCCACTGACACAGATGCATCTGAGGGTGACCTGGTCACTGCACACCAGGAGGGCCTACAGTCTCCTACCCACAGGTTATTCCCAGTCATTCCCAGGGCCCTCCAAGGATAACAGTGACAAGAGGGTCTCTGGCTTTTCCCAACAGCCCTTTGCCTTTCCTTACCCAACTGCAGTTCTACAAATCTTCTTACAAGTGCAGGAAGCACTGTGAAAACGATGTCACTCAACACACACAAAAATGTGAGTATACCTACAAATAGTTATGCTGCCTTACTTATCCAGGATTCAGAATAAGGTCTGATATATATCAAAAAATCCACAAGTTAAAGCTAAAACAAAATTTTCAGGAGAAACTCCTTCAGGCTCTTATAGGCTATGGACTATTTTTCTCCTCAGTTCTAACAACTGAACCCAAAGTAGCAAGTAGAGAAGAATACATGATGGAAAGGGCAACCTTAGGCAGGTATACTGACAGCAGTAAGAAGTTCTGACAGCTGACACAGGGAAACTAAAAGAAAAAAAAAAAAAGAAAGAAAGAAAAGAATTAAAACAAAAACAAAAAAAGACCCCACTAAAAAAAAGCAGAGACCTAAAAACTCCAGGAAAGATCTGCATCTGCATCCCTGTTTATATCACAACATTAAAAAACTATATACAGTTCAATATTCATTTGAGACCACTGAGGAATGTTTGTCACACTAGGCAGAAAAAGAACATATCATAGAACAATTTCCATCCTAAATGTGTTATCTTGGTGCTTAATGAGCAAAAACCTAAATTGTCCCAAAATCTCTATTCAGGAAGTTGCTTCTCTGTTT